CGCGAAGCCCAGCACAGGCTCAGATTACAAGTATGAAATTTATGAAACAGTGAAAAATAAGGAAAAAACTAAAAAAAAACTACTACAGAACATACGGTAGGAAAAGTAAAAAAGGAGATAAAAATTACATGTTAAAATTAAAGTTGTCTGAAACTTGAGTTAGAAAATCCGTCATTAAAAACTTCAGGATTCTGATGTCTTCTATAATTGATAAAAAGTTTGAGATTTCTGGAATAATCGATTCTTCGATTTCCGGATTCAATTCCTGATTTTTCACCGGATTCCAACTTTTTTATCGTTTTCGGATTTCTGAAATTCCAAGACTTCCAATCGTGTGATTTTCTCACTGTGACCAATTATTGCTCTAATGCAGCCCACCCAACTCGACAACTTTGAGCTCTATTATCTCGATTCCTATGAGAGCTATCAAAAATCTGCCAACGGATAAAATATTTATCATATCATCAGAAATATTTTTTAGTTGTCAAATTTTTAAATCTTTCACAGGAACCGAGATAATTGAGCACAAAGTGGAGGTTTGAGTGGGCTTCTATCAGAGGAAATACAGTAGTTTTGAAATTTCTGTTTTTCTGTCTTACTGGTTTTCCAGAACTTTCCTTTTCAGTATTTTTGAATTTTCAAACACCCGATTTTCCGGATTTTCCAGAATTTCAAAATTAAATTTTTAAAGAATCGGCGAAATCGCTGAACAGATTTCTAGAAAAAACAAAGAAAATTAGTGAAAAATTCATGACCTAAAATGCCTCTCTGAATTTTCTAGGTCACTGTTCCAATAAGAAGATTATATCAAATTTGAAAGATATCTTGTCTTTTGAAAAACAAAAAAAAATTGATGACCTTGCCCTTAAGCTGACCGCCCAGGCCATCAGTTCAGTAGAATTCTAGGATGCCGTCTCCCACCGGAACCCCCATAAAAGGAGACGAAATCCAACAGAAAAATCAATCAGTTCAATCGATCACTCTCCTGACTGAAAACCATGAACCTCCAATCAACTGCTCTTCTCGTTGTCCTTGCTCTTCTCGCCGTCTTCGATATGGTCACCTATGCTGCAGATGCTAAAACATCCCCCACATCCACTGAAGGCAGCAGCTCTAAAGGAGTTTCCACGTATTCTGCTCTTGGTAGGTTCAATTATTTCGATATCTTTGAGATCTTATTATTTTCCAGGTGCTTTGATTGCGACTGTCCTAGCCAACCTCTTATGATCGGCGTCGTCCTGACATCTCCTTCTGATCGTCACCCTTGCCAACTTCTTCGGATGATGGGAACCATCGTTCTTCTTCCTCTACTTGCTGTTTTCGTCATTTCTCTTTCTTTCTGGTAATAAATTTATTCGGTTGAAAGCGATTTTGAAAATATAGTTGTTCTGTTACGACGGTAGACATAAAAGCAAAGAATTCACCAACTCGCTGAACCATTCTTTAGACATCAAAGCATTTTCGTAAAGGATAGATCAGAAATGCTTCAAATCTTTAGCTCAAACTTTGAGCTCAATTATCTCGGCTCGGTTCCTATGCGAGCTATCAAATAATTGTCCACTTATAAATTATAGGCGATGATGTGATAAACATTTTATCAGGTGAAAGCTTTTCGATACATTTTTGAGGAACCGAGATAATTGGGCTCAAAGTATACGGTTTGGGTGGGTTTCTGTTCAAGAAAAAACGGTAGCACTTGGAAATTTCAACAAAGTTCTAGTTTTAATGATTTTTAAGGTTTGCCATTTCTCAAATTATATTAGGTATTAGAAAAAAAGACAAAAATGAGAAATCTACAGTAGTTAATTGCTAATCTTCTGTGGCATCTCTCTGTGAGGTCAAATATCAATATGCCTTCAGAAATACTGGAGTTTTCGATATGGATGTTAGATTTAAGATGAAAGAAAGTGACGGTCACATTCTGAACATATTCCGAGAAAATTTTGTGTAAAAGTTTAAACAGTTTAAAAACGGCAAATCGCCAGTACATCTAGAATGCTTCAAATTTTTCCTGTTTTGTGTTAATACATATGTGTCTTACAAAAACTTTTTCCACTTGTTTTGAACAAAGGCAACCAGAAAACTGTACAAAAAACAGCTTTGAAAATACTGAGAAATAAATATATTGTCTATTCAAAATAATCGCGCGGGTGAAAGTCTTTTGAATAGACAATAAAATAAATTTATTCAATCATCAGCGCCAATTGACGACAAGAGAGTGAGAGAAGAAGAAATGATGCCTCGAGTGGTCCTCTTAGAAGAAGTTGGCGATCACGGCAGTGGCAATGGCTCCTGGAAAAAAGATTGAGATGGAATTTTCTAGAAAAGTAAAACATACCGATCACAGGATAAGTGGCTCCCGATTTAGGTGTGGACCCCTCTGCTTCAGGTGTGGGCCCCTCTGTGACTCCAGAAGGAACGCCTTCAAGAGTTTCTTTTGGAGTTTCCGAATCTGTTCCATTCTTCTCAGTCTGAGCCAGCGTATTGGTGACGAAGATAACCAGGAGCGAGAGAATGACGATGAGAGCAGTCGAACGGCGGTTCATCCTTCACAGTAAGATCGATCCAAAGAAGTGTCGATGACTGAATTCCTGCTTCTGGTTTCTCTCTTCTTTTATAACGATTTATTATCTCTGTTCCAGATCTTTGTCGTGTTGGCTGCGCGATATAGCTCACGGGGGATTTTTTGGACTCGAGAAAATTCTATAAAGGAGATCACGTCTTTAATTTTTTTTGTGAAAGGAAAAAAAAAACTTTTTATTGAGTTACTGTAGATAAACGTGACCACTTTAGATCTGGAGCACAGATAAAAAATCTACATAAATAGAAGCTAGAAAAAGAGAACAGTTAGAAAGGTCAAAGTTTCTGCAAAGCACCATGAGCCATAATACTGTTGCTCTTCTCTATGTCATCGCACTTCTTTCCGTCTTGGTTTGTATGGCAATGGCTGAAGGAAAACGGAAAAACGGAGAACCAATGAGCGATCAGGATCTTATTGACGGCAAAAAGAGCAAGGAAGGCCAGGACGACAAAAACGACACAAAGAGCAACGGAGCCGAGATGTACTACACTCTTGGTTAGTTTTTCTTTTTTTTTCTTTAGATTTTCTCCTTATTTACTCTTTTCTAGGATCCATGATCGTTGCCGCCGTGGTCAACATGTTCTAAGGTTGCTGCTGCTGATCTCCTCGAAGTCATCGAATCGTTTCTTTTGCTCACCCTCTGCTGACCTGCTCTCTTCTCATAAAACTATGTTCAATTAATTAGTTTTTAAAAATGGACTGTTTTAAATAAAGCATATTTGGTTGTGTATTTGTTATTGGTGTGGCACATAGGATAAGATTTTAAGGATCATGGATCTATAGAACTGTTGAATCCAAAAATCTGAAACTAATGAATTCTTTCGGATGAATACTGAAATTTAGTTTTTCAGAATTTTTAGATTTTTCATGAATTAGCTTTTGGAAAAATTGAAAATTAAACGTTTCTGTAACCATCCTCTTTAAGCCGGATTTTCCAATGTAGAGAAAAATATTCCAAAAAAAATAGGATTACTGTAGTCGACTACAAAAAATCTTTCATGTAATTTTTCCCTACAGTGTTCTGAATTTCTGAATTTCTGAATTTCTGAATTTCTGAATTTCTGAATTTCTGAATTTCTGAATTTCTGAATTTCTGAATTTCTGAATTTCTGAATTTCTGAATTTCTGAATTTCTGAATTTCTGAATTTCTGAATTTCTGAATTTCTGAATTTCTGAATTTCTGAATTTCTGAATTTCTGAATTTCTGAATTTCTGAATTTCTGAATTTCTAAATTTCTGAATTTCTGAATTTCTGAATTTCTGAATATCTGAATTTCTGAATTTCTCTGATTTTCTGATCCAAGGATCGTTGTTCGAGAAACTGAAACTTTTTTCAGGGAGTACTCCACTCAAATCGACGAATCCTACAAACCGGTTTTCGAGAAGCTTCCAGAAGAGGTGAAAGGAGATCTTGGATGTGCTGATCGCGTTGTCAAGACCTTCAAGGAAGTTGCATTGAAATTCCCAACTGGAAACATCATCATTGTTTCGCATGGAACTCCATTGGCCAACATTCATGCCTTCCTCGAGGGACACTGGAAATATGTTGGACAATGCACCATTGGCAAGGTCACTGATATGTATGGACAATCGTTCCGTCTCGACTACTGGTCTGATAAGAGACACTTGTCTCAGACTCATGACCTCCGTGAAGACGAACGCATCACCCCACAGATGCCAGAGTAAATGGAGACTTCTCGTCATTTTCCCTTACGTCAACAAAAATTCTAAAAAGGAAAAAGAAAGTGAGAGTGAGAGGAGATGAAACTTAATTTTAAACGTCCGGATATTTAAATAAATGTGTTTTGTATTGAAATTTGTTGTTTCTTGTCGAATCCAGATGTTTTATAGAAAGTCACTCAAACCGCCAACTTTGAACCCATATATCTAAGTTCCTATGAATGCTATCAAAAAGTGGTTAGCTGATAAAATGCTTATCATGGTATCACAAGTATTTTCTCAGTTTACCTCTTTTTGATATCTTGAACAGCCTGTAACAATTTAATAACAGGAATTGAGCTACCGTAAAACCTGTATTAGAAGGGCCGGCCCTTCTATTGTTCCAAAGTACCTCCGGAGGGCCCTTTTATTACAGGAGCCCTTCAATTGAAGAATCCCTTCTATTTTTCCGGCCAGTTTTTTTCCGAAATTTAGCATCGAAAAATTCGACGAAGTTTCGTTCAAAATTTATTAAAATCTGCCAATTTCACCAAAAATTAGCAAGATATTCATCGAAAAATAGAGTTTCAACAAATTTCTATTAAGTTGTGGAGTTCTAGGTATATTTTCCACTGAAAGAGTACAGAAATTTTCTGATTTTAAAACAAATTTTGAAAGAGGGTCTTTTTTCACAGAAGGCCCTTCTATTACGGGGGGTCAGAATTATCTTTTTTTTTGAGTGAGACAAAAATGTTTAGGTTTACTAAACAAAGACAGAGCTTCAATTTTTTAGTTCTTTTGTTTTCTTCTTTTGATTTGTAGGACAGTTTTTTCTTTGAAAAGTAGTCCACATTAGATACACATAAATAATAAATAAAGTGTCACAATTCTTTCCATTAAAAAAAACGACCTCCGAAAATTTTGATCGATATAAATATTTCCAATTTACTGCCGAAAATTGGGGGTAAAATGAGAATTATTTTAAAGTTGAAACGCATTTTCCTTTTCTTTGTTTGATCGGGGCTTTTACGATTTTCTGAATGATTTTTCCTAATTTCTTTCTTTTAAAAAAATTTTTAAATTTCAGATTTCCAGCCGTCAGTTCTCAGATAACGTTTGATTGAACTAAGCCAGTAAAAAAAAAGTAAGCTAAAAGTAAAGTAAAAAAAGCTAATAAAATAATTTTATTCAATCATCAGCGCCAATACGAGAGTGCGAGAAGAAGAAATGATGCCTCGAGTGGTCCTCTTAGAAGAAGTTGGCGATCACGGCAGTGGCAATGGCTCTGAAAAAAAGAATGAATTGGATTGTTCTAGAAAACGGAAACCTACCAATCACAGGATAAGTGACTCCCGAGTTGCCTGGCGAGGTGCCCTCTGGCAGTCCTTCTGTTACTGTCTCTGAGGGGGCCTCGGTTCCAGGATTATCACCACTTGGTTTCTTTGCATTTTGATCGTCACCTAGAGGCGGTGGAACCTTAGCTCCCTCAGGTGCTGCCGGTGGTGTGTCATCCGGAATTGGTGTACCATCATCCTGAGCCAACGTATTGGTGACGAAGATAGCCAGGAGCGAGAGAATGACGATGAGAGCAGTCGAACGGCGGTTCATCCTTCACAGTAAGATCGATCCAAAGAAGTGTCGATGACTGAATTCCTCTTTTGATTTTTCTCTTCTTTTATAACGATTTCTTATCTCTGTTCCAGATCTTTGCAGTGTTGGCTGCGTGTAGCTCACGGGAGATGTTTTTTTGACTGAGTAAGATTCTATGAAGGAGATCACGTCTTTAATTTTTGTTAACTCGTAAATTGTATCTTTACTATTAACAATCACCAAATTCTGTGTGTGTGTGTGTGTACGGTGTTCCCGGTTCTGAGACCGTAGCGAACTCACCACTGGACTTTTTAAAAATTTTCCAAATTTTCACAGATGACCAGAAATAGCAGCGAGATGAAATTTTCGATATTCGATTTTTGACGTCTTCTGGATATGATCTTCTACTTCTTCAGTGCAAATCTTTAGAAATTATTTTCACGCCATTCCCGCCCATCCCCCTATTTTTTTCCTATCCACGTTATATAAAACAAAAAGATGATTTTGTGCGAAGAGATATTCAGTCTGGGTTCTGAAGAATTAAAAGTATCTAAAAATTATGACAAGAAATCAGAGAAAAAGATAAGCTCTCTCAAAGATCAATACGAACGCGTTCAATGTAGTCTTTGGACTTCTTACGGTTTAAGTTTTAAGAAATTAAAATCTTTCGAATTTCGAAGGTTTTGAATTCTCAAATTTTCCAAATTTTTTTAATGCTGAAACTATAGAAACCTGGATTTTTAGAACTATAAATTTCCAAATTCCAAAAGATTAAAATGTGTGAATTTTCGGATCGAAAAATTCAAAATTTTTAAATTTTTAAAATAACCGCAAATCAGAAATTCCTGAATGCAGAAATGCAGAAATTCCTGAATGCAGAAATGCAGAAATTCGCAAAAATCGGAAAATCTGAAGATCAGAAAGGCAGAATCTAAAAAAAATCAGAAACCCAGAAATTCAGAAATTAAGAGTCAAAAAACTAAAATTTCTGAGATTAAATTCTTGAATTTCAGAAAGTCCTAATTTGGTGATTCGGAAATTCGAAAAACCAAAAATCAAAACTTCAGAATCTTTAAAAAATCAGAATTTCAGAATTTCAGAACTTCAGAAACTCAGAAATTAGGAAATTCGAAAAATCAGAATTTCTGAATTTGTGAACTGCTGAATTTCTGAACCTCTGAACTTCTTTCTAAGCTTATATGCATTAAAAACACTTTTCATTAACTGACTTTTCAAATTCTCAAAAATTCAAATCTCCTCATATCCCAGATGTTAAATTCCGAAACTACCGAGATCCTGAGTTTTCAAAAAATCGTTTTCTTACGCTCAAAATTTCCTAATTTTCGAAAATTTTTTCAAAATTTCCTAATTTTCGGGCCAGGAGGTTTAGCCCCGAAGGGGCGTAAACCGACTGGTATCTTTACTATTAACAATCACCAAATATGTGTGTGTGTAAAATTTTAACTCTTTCTGGAAGTTTCGAAAAAAAATTGTCGGAATTCGTTGAAAAAATAGTGGAAATTGCTGAAACTGCTTCAAAAAAGAATAGAAATTACTAGAAAATTTGAAACTTTGAAAAAAAACTTCAAAAATAATATTTTATTTAAACATTAAGTTAAAAAAGAGAGAAGACAACCGCAAGTAGAAGAGGAAGAAGATGTGATGACGACGCCGATCATAAGAGGTTGGCTAGGACAGTCGCAATCAAAGCACCTGGAAAATAATAAGATCTCAAAGATATCAAATAATTGAACCTACCAAGAGCAGAATACGATGCAACTCCGTTGGAGCTACTGCCTGTAGTGGATGTGGGGGATGCTTTAGCATCTGCAGCACAGGAAACCATATCGAAAACGGCGAGAAGAGCAAGGATAACGAGGAGAGCAGTGGTCTGGCGGATCATCGTTTGCAGTCAGAGAGAGTGAACATTAACTGACTTCTGTTTGAATTTCTTCTCCTTTTATGGAGCTTTCAGGGCAACGGCACCCTAGAGACCGGCGCCCGGTGGCCGGGTGACCGTTCAGTTGAGAATTTTTCTGAAGAATTAGGGCAAGGGAATTTGTTTTTTTTTGTGATACATAAAAGGATTATGTCGTTAGTTTTTGAGGTTCCTCTGATTCTATTTTTCGACCTCTTTTCTTGAGGAAATTTAAAATTCAAACGAATTCTTTTTTTATACTAATTTATCCGAAAAAACAGGAAAAAATCAAATTTATCATACTTGTAATCCGGGCCTTTGCCGGGCCTTCGCGGGCCCTGGCATAACTTCTTTCAGAATCAATGTTTCGAACCAACTCAATCAGGTATGATAGAGCTCCACGAGTACTACAAAACGGTATTATTTGGAATGCTGTATCTTGTCTATGAACAGAGTTACAGAGCAAAAGGACCAAAAAAACAGCAGGAACGCCCCGGGCCTGCCGGGCCCTGCGAGAAAAGCCACTTTATGATCTGAAACTTTGTTCATAGATAAGATACAGTATTCCAAATAATACCGTTTTGTAGTACTCGTGGAGCTCTATCATATCTGATTTAGTTGGTTCGAAAATATAGATTCTGAAAGAAATTATGGCAGGGCCCGCGAAGCCCAGCACAGGCTCAGATTACAAGTATGAAATTTATGAAACAGTGAAAAATAAGGAAAAAACTAAAAAAAAACTACTACAGAACATACGGTAGGAAAAGTAAAAAAGGAGATAAAAATTACATGTTAAAATTAAAGTTGTCTGAAACTTGAGTTAGAAAATCCGTCATTAAAAACTTCAGGATTCTGATGTCTTCTATAATTGATAAAAAGTTTGAGATTTCTGGAATAATCGATTCTTCGATTTCCGGATTCAATTTCCTGATTTTTCACCGGATTCCAACTTTTTTATCGTTTTCGGATTTCTGAAATTCCAAGACTTCCAATCGTGTGATTTTCTCACTGTGACCAATTATTGCTCTAATGCAGCCCACCCAACTCGACAACTTTGAGCTCTATTATCTCGATTCCTATGAGAGCTATCAAAAATCTGCCAACGGATAAAATATTTATCATATCATCAGAAATATTTTTTAGTTGTCAAATTTTTAAATCTTTCACAGGAACCGAGATAATTGAGCACAAAGTGGAGGTTTGAGTGGGCTTCTATCAGAGGAAATACAGTAGTTTTGAAATTTCTGTTTTTCTGTCTTACTGGTTTTCCAGAACTTTCCTTTTCAGTATTTTTGAATTTTCAAACACCCGATTTTCCGGATTTTCCAGAATTTCAAAATTAAATTTTTAAAGAATCAGGCGAAATCGCTGAACAGATTTCTAGAAAAAACAAAGAAAATTAGTGAAAAATTCATGACCTAAAATGCCTCTCTGAATTTTCTAGGTCACTGTTCCAATAAGAAGATTATATCAAATTTGAAAGATATCTTGTCTTTTGAAAAACAAAAAAAAATTGATGACCTTGCCCTTAAGCTGACCGCCCAGGCCATCAGTTCAGTAGAATTCTAGTGAAGCCAGGAGATTGTAGCCGCCGACAGGCGACGGAAATCACTGGTATTTTCATATAGATCACATCTTCATTAGAACAATTCTTTTTTGGGAAAGAGAGAGATTCACAGTTTGGGCATTGGAAAGAAAATAGAGAAACAACGTTTCAGAAGGACAAGTAACGGAAACCAAGAGGCATGAAAAAAAAAAGTATTATCGCATTTCTTCAAGAGTCTTTTCATAATCCCACAGACGAGTGATCAGGAAGGCTTTCACAAATTGCACTGAAAATAATATTTATTATTTTGTGTGTTCATTTGAATCAAATTACGAAAACACCTGTAATAGAAGGGCCCCCACACTATAAAGTTTAATCTCATTTATCTCAGTTCCTGTGCGAGATATCAAGAACGTGTTAACTGATAAAATACGTCTGATGCTATTGCCGCGTTCAGGAGTAATTTCCTGGAAAAACGCTGTCCAAAGCTGCGATTGTTTTCCAGATTTACAGCAACAGTAAACTACTGTATCACTCGTTTTGACTGTGTTCTTCCTGTTGATTCATGTCGATTTACGGCGGGTCTCGAAGCGGATGCCTTT